AGAAGGATCGCCGGAGCCCAGCAGGTCGAGGCTGCGGTGGCCAGGAGCGGCCACTGCACTCCAGTCTGGGCGACTGAGTGAGACTCCAACTCAAAAAAAAAAGAAAAAAATTTCTTTCTGGTAGACAGAAAATACAAAGCGCACGGGGCTGAGAATCAAAAGGCCTGGTCTCAGTTGCAGCTCTGCCACAGATAGAAAAATGTAGTTTAGAAAGGGACTAACATTCCTGGGTTTCAATGAACTCATCTACAAAATGAAACAGTTAGGACTGACCATGTTGTATTTTCGTCACTTACTGTTCCAAACCCTGATGCTATATAAACATTTTGTTTGCAAAGTCAAGCCAGAACAGAGTAGTGATTTGTATAGAATTCTTCTGTGCAATTCCTTAAGCAATATGAGAAGTCATTTTGCTAACCTTACAGCAATTGCTGCTAAAATTGTAGCTACTATCAGCAATAGCTGTCATAGGTACCCTTTATCAAGTACCCCTGCTTACTGCTAATCATGGGTCCTGGTGTGAGGTACTCACCAAAAACTTTATTATTATTGATGCATAAACTATCATTGCAATTTTTCAGATGGAGAAACTGAGATTCAAAATAAAGTGAGGAACTTGGCTCATAATCACATAAATAAAAAGTAAATTTCAGAGATGGAGCTTGAATTCAGGTTTTCTGATACCCAAACTTATGTTTTTCATATTCCTACTATTTGTGAATGATAGGTAGTTCAGCTCCCATTGTGTGATTTGGAGTGTCTCAGCTCTCTGGCAACCTACTCCAGTGTCAAGGCTTTAAGTATCATCTTTACACTGACACCTCCCAAAGCTGTACACCTGCAGCCCAACCCTTTCCTGAAATCCAGATCTGTACAACCACCTAACTCCTCAACTCCTCCACTGATATCTAATAAGTGGCTCAAATATAACATGTTCAAAACAAAGCTCTTGATTTTACTCACAAATTGTTTCACTCAAGTTGTCCCATACTCAGGCAACAGCAGCTCCATCTTTCTTCACCATACTAAACACTTGGAGTCATCCTCAGTACCTCTCCTTCCTTTGTGCCTTACATTCAATTGCTCAGCAAATCCTGTCAGCTCTTCTACAAAGTACATCTAAACTTGATGACATTTTGGCACTCTCAATGTTCCCACAAGAGTCCAAGCCACCATCATCTCTTGCCATCATAATGACAGTTGGTAAACAGTCCACCCCCTTGTTGCCATTCTTGTCTGGCATGTAATCTATTCTCCATGAAGCAGTCAAAATGATCTTCTAAAAATGTGAGTCGAGTCATGATACTCTTCTCCTGAAAACCCTCCTGTTGTCTCTCCTTATCTCTCATTCAGAGTAAATTCATTGTCCTTATGACAACTCAGCTCACCTCACCTACAACTTCAGCCCCTGACCTCCACTTGGCACTGACCCATCTCCTCCAGCTCCCTGCTGTTTCCATTTTGTCCAATCACTCAAGTCTCCTTGCTGATTCTTGAACATACCAGTTGCACTTCCACCTTGAAACTTTACTTTCATACTTGCTGTATTTCCAGATTGAATTTTCCCCTGGATTTCCATGTCTCACTTCCTCACTTCCTTTGAATCTCTTCTCAAATGGTACCTTCTCAGAGGACTTCCTTGGCCATACAATCTAAAACAATATCCAGTTACTCTTCCCTTTCACAGTGATTTATTTTTTTTAGTAGATTTAATCACCACTTTCTATATAATTTGTTTGCTTATTGTCTTTCTACACACACACACACACACACACACACACACACACGAATGTAACAACACGAGAGCAGGAACTTTGTTTTTTTTTCATTGTTGTATCCCAATACTTAAAAGAATATCTACCACGTGATAGATACTCAATAAGTATTTGCTAATAAATGAATGAGTACCAAATGCAAAATAAAGAAAAATGTGCATATTTTAAGTTAAAATAATAGAAACTGACATGAAACATTTAAAACTCTGGTAGAGAATTTTAGAAGCATGGATTATTTTTAAGTTGTATGTAGAAAATAAACAATGTTTTAGAATAAGCATCAAGTAAGATAATAGGCACAGCAAAAAAACATTTCTGTTTTCAAAATACTGTCTGTAAAATTATCACAAGTTTAGTATAACTCATTCTGCCAAAAAAAATTGATATGTGACAGCTCCTAATAAAGTTAACAGATCTTTAAGAAACAAATGAGGCTTTTTGTTGGAAACAGAGGTATTAGTCCAGCTTTAAAATACAAATTTCTCTATTGTGAATGAACTTTTGCTGTTTATTAAGCTAATGATAATAAATACAAAATGATCCCCAAATTATGCCAAACTCACCACGACCATCTCCAAGCATTTTTAACTTGCAATAAAGGACAGTGCACTTGAAGTCAGAAAATCAGGAATGGAGTCTAAGGTTTCATTGTAAAGAATAAAGGACAAAGTCATCGTGAAAATCAATTACTAACTACAGAGTTATATTCCTCTATGTCTACTAGAATCTGTGATCAGTTGTGCTATTATCACCAAAGACTAAAGAATTATCTAATTTAAACTGCTAGTTAACCTGCCTTTTCTTTCATTATATCTCTATTTTAAGATGAGACACCAGAAATAAAGTATTTTGATTCAGGAAACTAGAGATTTTTTAAAAATCTAATTTTCTATATCAGAAGAAATTTGTGACTATAAGCCATCTGTAATCTTCTAGGAGACTCAACAGTACAGCATGGTAATACCTTAAGAGATTTACCTGGTTGGCTCCACATTTCACCTTACATCATTACAGGCCTCCCAGCAACTCTGACCTTTGGAGATTGAGTTCTTTCTTCTGGGAAACAAATACAAGCCCTCAATTTCAAGTTGTATCTGAATGTCTAGATAGCTCCCAGCATAAGCTATGTCCTGAATGTCCAGATTCTCTGATCAGAATTGCTAAAACTGTCCTTACTCTCTACCACTAGGAGTCTCTTTTTTCAGGAGGTCTTAAATTGGGATTCATAATCTACCTGAATTTTTTTTAGTGGGGACAATAGCATTCATGAGATTTTCAAAGAAATAAATGATCTCCCTACAAAAGTTTTAAGACAAAAGTCTGTCTTTTAAAAAATACTGGGTTTTCTTAATTCTATTTAGTCATTCAGATGCAGGACAAAATAGATTTTCTGATTCATTCAACCTCTTTTTTTACTTGTTTTGTAACCAACTTGCCAACTCTGATTTAATAGTCACTTATTTATTCAATACATATTCTTCCAGTCACTTATTTATTCAATACATATTCTACTATGAACAGACCATAGGTCTGAATTTTTCTCATCACTGCATATAAAAAATTATATTTGCATAAGGAACATATAATTATTTTAAAATATAATGAATAAATTATGGAAAGATGTATCCAGGGCACAGATTATCAATACTTGAAACATAATAGATCATAATTTATAATTCAGGAGACCCAAATATAAATTTCAGCTTTATAATTCATTTCTAATGCTAACTCAAAGACATTTTTTCTCCATGTGCAAATAGGTTCACTTACTTGAAAAACAGAGGTAAGAAAACATTAAGGTAATGTCCAAGAAATTATTAAATCCCCTCATAACACATAAAAATAAAATATCTAATAAACAAATGTTGATGTCTTTATAGAACTTGGGCAAAGAGATGCTGTAAAGGTTAAAAGGAGACTTACAGAATGCTATGCCTCTAAAGCCGTCATGTGCCACACTGCCAGGCAAATCTTGGACGTGCTTTATATCCTCACCACCCAAAACTCAGATGAGCACCCTGTACCAGGTTCATTCCATTTCTGAATTCCTTAATTTCTAATACTCTACCTTATCTAATGCAATTATTTTCTGAGCCTTCTAGAGGTGGTGAGCTTTTATACTGCAAGCCTTGAAACCAGGCCCCGCCTGACCATGTCATAGAATTTTAAGCAATGACTCTTCGTAAAAATGGAATTATGTTTTCCTATCTGAGGCTTTGCTTAAATTTCCATTTCCCTTGCCTTACCTCTGGTTCCTGATGCATATCACTCCACATCCAAGACTTCTGTGGTCTTGCTGGAAAAATACCCTGCCCAGCACAGCCTCAGTCTTCTAAACCTTTGCTTCGCTGGCATTGCCAAGGCTGGCTGTCAGTCAGACCATTGTTTCTGGCCTGGAATAAAACCTCCAACTACTCTATTTAACTTCAAGGAGTAAATTGAATTGCTATCTACCACCAAGATGCCATCAACCCCGTTTCTGAAAAGTAGATACTTCAATAAGAAGAATAAAGAATTAAATGAGAATGAGTAGGTATAGACAAAGATTAATCTTTTGGAGAAATATAATTGTAGCAAGACCTATGACTTTAATAAAACAGGAACAAAATGACAAAAAGAAAAACAAAAGAAAATAGAAAATCAGAGAGAATGCTATTGGGTAAAGAATATGGAAAAAATATTTGAAAGACTAGTATGTATACAGACAGTTCTAAATTTTTCTAACTTAAAGCTTTCAAATACTGAAATGAAAAAAAGAAAGTAGTAAAATTCAGACCAAAAAGATACAAAATTATAATTCAGACCATGTATATTTCTTTTCCAAATGTAAAAGCAGTAAAGAAAATCAACTCATTGAGTTTACCCCATTATGTAACATTGGAAAATTTGATGACTTATAAGAGGAGATCCTGGTAATATGGTCAAAGTTCCTGAAAAAGTCTTGGAAGTATCAAGCAATTCAGAAGATAGAAGTGGAGAAAAGAAGAAAGAAGTAATTAATCAAACAGAGGAGAAATACTTAGAAGACAGTGAAAGTTGTGCACTTACCTGGAATCCCCTTTGCAACACGCTAACTGTTGAGTAAAGGAGATAAAAAGAAAGAGCACAAAACATTTGCCAAACACACATATTTTGAAAAACGTACAGCTCAGTAATTTGGTCAAAGAAGAAAATCATATTAAGTGGCTTAATATGACTTCAAATTAACTATTTGAAAAAGGATATGAATGTACCAAAATCTTAATAGCTAATTTTCTAATAGGGTTGAAGGGAGTTAAAATGTACAGGGCAGGGGTGGCACTGAATCGAGAGATTGCTTTCCCTTTATTCAATACTATAAATGTCTGAAAAAGAAAACAACACATAAAACAGAATTTAGAATATGCGTTAAGAATATTTCAAGAAAAAGGTGAGACTATTATTTAGAAATATTGCCCTATAAAATAAGGCAGTAATATGCTAATTACCAACACATGATAGATGATAGATTTTTTTTCTTTCTGAGCACTGTAAACTACTTAAAATTTGATAAGTGACATGAGAATTTAAAGAAGAATGTAAGGAAAATTTGTGGTCAGTGCCATAGGAATTCCTAGCATCTTTATAAGTTTTAATATCAGTGTTTTTAAACTGCATTTATAATTCACATAAAGCACAAAAATGAGGCTTTGAATAATTCTTCAGAGATAATTTTCTCATGAGAACTTCAAGATTTTCCAGGTATGTTCTTTGCTTACACTCTTTTTTGGCACTTTCACAGAATTTCTTCTGTGGAGCGCTATGGAAAGGAGAAAGTTCATGGAATGAAGGAATATACTTAAATCTGCTGCAGATCAAAGTCCTTTACAAAGAGCTAGAGACTGTTGAGAGGATTTTAGATACTATCCCTGTAAAAAAAATATTAAAAGTATAATCCTAGTTTACACTTTTTGCTTCTCAACATCATATGCGAATTGGAGGGAACTTGCACTCTATTTAAGAACGTAATTCATATTCAAATCGACTTTTGCCCTTCCTCAATTCCCCCACTAGAGGATGTCTCTTCAGTTCTCTGCCTGCTCCCAAAACGCAGGTTCAAATGACTACTTCCAAAAGACTTCGAGGATCAGCAGTCCATTAACAGCCAGGCTCACCCAGCATCCTAGTGACACTTAACACGGAGGGAAAGAGGCACAACATTCTTCACCCTTATCGCTGGGACTAGCCCAGAACCAATGAGCAAACAGGGGAAGTAAAGGCAACTTGACCTGGAACTCACTTTCTTATTGATATAGTAGGGGTCCAGGTCCTCCAGAGGCTCTGACACCATCGCTGGAGGAATGTCTCCATAAATAAATGGAAGAGATTTTCCTGCTTCCAAGTCACTATTTGGCTTTGGACCATTTTCATCATCCTCATCCTTGCGCTCTTGTTTGGGTCTCTTAGCTTTCTCTTCTGCAATGCGTTGTTCAATAGCAGCAAGGGATTCCCTGGTAAAGAAGCGGAAGCTGTCAGGTCCTGGCGGTACCAGCACTGACTGTGCCATCTTTTCATCCTGCTTCTTTAATCACTGTTTTGCTCCTTGCATAAGAAAGTGCTACAGAAACAGAGGGGGAGGAAAGCAATGACCATTAGGATAAAAAGTGACTGTGGCAATTACAAGACACAACACTAAGATAAAGCATACAAACTAAGATAAAGCATACAAACCAAGATAGCTATAATATTTTACAAAGGAAGCTGTATCCGGCATTCAGGGAATCTCATACGTGCATTCATTTGCTCTCGTAGAGATCTATCTTTCACATTCAGTAGGTGTCTATGAGGTAATCTAATCTCCCACTCCCAAAATGTTTTCAGTGATTGTGCTACTTGGGGGAAAATATGCAATTCAGAGTTCAGAAATGGAGGATACTGGTTTTGCCTGCTGTTTCATTTGTGTGAATATTTTGGCAGCCATCTTTTTCAGCATTCTTTCTGAAAAAATATCAGAGATCCAAAACAAGAGATGAAATATCACACGAAACTGCAGAACCTGGAATGTGTGAGGAGCTTGTGTTTTTTTCCCACATAATCTTTGGCTCACTTTACCATATTTAGTTTATTCAAAATCTATACACCTGGTAAAGAGCTCTGTAAATCCTAAAATGCCAGGTTATGAAAACATAGGTAGGTCCTGCTTGAAAGCAAGGGAGTAGGAAGAAGCAGGAGACGCCTGGTTGTGTTTGGAATTGCTCGGAAGCTGCACAGGAAGGGACCCAGCTCCTGCCAAAGCAGGCAGGAAGTCATCCACGTCAGAGATCTGTAGCTTGGACCCCCTGGTTTAGCAACCTGCTGCTAGTTAGCGTAATTGCTTCTTAAATTAACAAATTTGCAGCACCTAAGGAAATACTGTAGAGATATTCCCATTTTCTCACATAGTGCCCATTTCACAAAAATCTAGCATAGCAGTCTGACTTCAGGATTTGGACTTGAAAAAAGTAATAAGTTTAAGATAGTTTATCTTTTAATCAGACATATCATTATGTAGGTCTTTGCAATAACATAATAGAGTTTTACTGGTATCAAATGATAACTTACTAGACTCAAGTAGATAACTCAACAGAGCACATCAGTCATTTCACATGTTACCTCTGAACCAGTGGCAGAAGTTTCTATGCTATTTGAAACAATACAACCAAAATCTTGACTCCTGAATACCATCTGTACAAAATCACTTAATCTAATGTGCTCCTTCTTTCGAAATAAATTAATCTATGGAACCCCCACACCACAGGAATGACAGTTGTCATCTAAACATATGAAATTCATTTTATAAGAGTAAAATGTGGTGTGCAGTTCATTTCTGCAGCATATGTCAGCTAAAACAGAGAAAAACCTAAAATAACATCAGCCACTGTACAGTTTTATAGAAAACAATTTTGAAGTAGACCAGGACCTTTCAGCCAGACTGCCCTCCCAGTCCAGTACCTCCCTTGCTTTCAAGCAGGACCTCTCATCCCCAGAGACACTCGTGCCTAGCAACAGGCATAGGCATAAAGATGGTCTTTGCACACCGAGGGAGAAAACTGCCATGCCTGGATGCTCTAACAGAAGAGACATGCTAAAACATGCAGCCAGCAGCTTCGAAATGAAAGTGGTCCCCCTGCAGATTTCCCCCAAGGATTCTACTGTAAAGGTAGAGCAGCATCACAGAGAATAAGCATAATAAGAATATTAAAACATTACCCCTGCAGAGTCTTTTACACTCAGTTTGGGATTGATAAGCTGGCCCCAAGAAGACTGCAGCTAAAATTCCATCATGCTTAAAAAAAAATTTTTTTTTTATAAATTCTCCTTCAAAGACCACACCTAACTTCCTGTAAAAGGATTCTGGTAACTGAAGTAAGAACGGGCACTTCCTGTACGGGGACTACAAAGTGGCATTATGATAACCACCACTAGAGGGCGGGGAAACTGTGAGGAGAAACACCTTCAGCATACACACAGACAACGTGTGAAGCAGCTCAAAGCTCTCAGTGATGGAGCTCTATCTTCCACAAGCCTCTTTGGAACTAAACGTTAACACTTTGCTGATTTTAGGTACTCATTTTGTTAACCCATAATGCTTCTGTTCATGCTTCTTATTTGCTAAGCCAGAAAATTATTCTATCAGTGTAAAGAATTCAAATTAAAAGTTAAAGAAACTACAGTAATGTGCTGCAGAACAATGTTTTCTAGTCAATGACAGAATGCATATATGATGGTGGCCCCGTAAGATTATAATGTATTTTTACTGTATATTTCCTAAGTTTAGATACACAAATACTTACAATGACCTACAATATTCAGAGCAGTCATATGCTGTTCAGGTTTGTACTCTAGGAGCAGAAGACTATTCTATGTAGTCTAGGTGTGCAGTGAGCTTCTAGGTTTGTGTAAGTTCATTCCATGATATTCACGCAACTATAAATTTGCCTAATGACACATTTCTCAGAATGTATCCCTGTCATTAAAGCAATGTATGACTGTAAATAGTGAAGAATTACAAATTAAAAACTCATATTAAACAGCAATTATATTTATAAAAGTTTTACATATATTAGTATTCGACATTAGCTCAGCCCCAGAGACTCTGAAGTCCAGTAAAGTCCTTTGCTATTTCAATAAAGAGATTACCTAAGCCACACAAGTTACCTTTCTTGAAAAAAAAATTGTAAAAACCCAATGAGACACCAATCTTATCTTATCCAATTTAATCATTGAAAAGCAACCAGGAAAAAGGACTGATAATCCAGTAAGATCCTAAATACCAGTATATCAAATAATATCATAATTAAGATTTGAGAATTTACTAAGTGCTAGTTACTGGGCTAAGATGTCAGCATGCATTGTATGATTCCATTCTCCCCACAACCCTATCAGGTAAATGCTTTCATTATCCTTATTTGAAAAATGAAGAAAGAAAGTATACTGAGATTAGGAAAAGTCTCCCAAAATCATACAGACAAGATTCAACTCAAAGTCTAGCACCAAAAATCTGTGATCATTACTCACTCATAAAAAAGAAAACCTGCTCATGTGACTAAAGCCTACAATAAGAATTAAGTTAAAAATCAGGCAGTGGCACCAATTATAATTCGAAACAATTTATCTATTAAGTCAATATATTTTGCATATTTTCTAACCTCACCATTTTAATTAGAAAATATATTTGTTGGAAATTAGCAAAGGAGAAGATACAGCCAGAAATAATATTTTAGTCACTCTAGCAGATAACTTTTGGTTATAAGAGAAAGAAAAATGACTCAAGCTGGTTGAGGGGCAAAAAAGGAAGAAGGGAATTTATTGGCTCGTACTTTATTGTTTAGGCTGTCTGGGGCTAGTTTTAGACTCGCAATGATTCAATTCAAGAGATGTTAACAGCATATAGTTACACTGTATCCCTTGACTCTGACTTCCATGGTGATAGGTTTCCTAAAGATTCTTCCATTATTGTAGTAAAATACTGCAGCAGCTCTAGCCTCCAAACCTTCCAGACCTAAATTCAATGGAAACAAAGACTCAGAAAAACTCATTGCAGCTTATTGGCTCCAAGTGGGTTACACACCTATCCTGAAGTAATCATTATGTCCAGGGTAATGCACACTTAGGCTGGCCACCCTTAAGCCACAAGCCCCATCCTTAGAACAAAGAAGAAACCTGACTTGAAACCTATGCACAGTAAGGGTCATAGTTATGGTAAACACACATTCCTCAAAAGCAGATTGGGGGGTACAATGACTGGAAAAAGGGGAAATTAATGCCAGGCAACAAAAACCAATAAACGTGTGTTCTAGTCACATACTGGTCAGATTTACAGTGCCTAAATATTTAGAAAGTATTATGATCAGCATCAGGACATATACATATAGTATATCTTCCATGTATACCAACTTCCATATAAAACAACCAGGCAAGATATTCAGAAGATTCCTTCCCCAAGGTAAGTTATCCTACCTTGGGGAATCAAGCACACAAATATTGCACCAATCTCTATGGTGAGTTCCAGTCTCACTTATCAAATGAATATTCAGGTCTCATTTTACAGATGTTCTCAACAATAGACCAGCATGTTATTCAAACCATTCTAATTCAAAAAGTAAATTAAATAATAAAAAATTCACAAGTGGATTTACCAAACATTGAATTTGGGGAAGAAGATTAATCATAATAATAACATGTATCTACATTTTGCCAAGCACTATTTTAAGAGCCCTGAAACCATTTAATCTTTATAGCAAACTGATGAAATTGATACTGAGATCATCCCCATTGAAAACATGCAAACAAAGTAAAATGTAGAACAGATGATACTTAGAGGTTGGGAAGGGTAGGATGAAGGGATGGATAGGGAGAGATTTATTAACTACGGGATAAAAAATTACAACTAGATAGGAGAAATAAGTTCTAATATAAGAGAGATATAGGTTTAAATATAAATAGCTTCAAATTGCTGAAAGGAGGATATTGGGGTGGGTTTGTTTGTTTTTTGTTTGTTTGTTTGTTTGTTTTGCCTAATTCCCAGCATAAAGAAAGGATAAATGCTTCTGAGATAATGGGTATGTTAATTATCCTTATCACTATATGTATTGCAACATCCCTATGTACTCCATAAATACGTACAATTGCCATTTGTCATTTAAAAATATAAAATTAAAAATAATAAGAAATAAAGCATGAAGAAACTGAAGCACAAAAAGGGTTAAATAAATTGCAACATGTAAAAGTTCTCACAACTGGAAGGAGTAGGATCAGAATGTAAACTCATGCTGGCTGGCGGCAGATCCTGTTTCTAAAAATTATGCAACACTTAAGTCATTTTTTGGAATCATTCATCATCAGGAGTATACCAAAATAGGTAGCTTCGTTGACTTTATATTAGTGATAGGGTCATCTCTTTCTCTACAGTTGATTCTAACCAGTGAGTATGTCTTAGACTATTTAAAAGATTGAATACAAAATGTTTTACCAAAACACCCAAGCAATCACATGAGTAACACCAGAATATTTTTTCCATCTCATAGAGACTTTGGTGTAGTGTAGAATTGAAAAAAGTTAGTCTCCTGTTTCTAATTTCCCATGATGAGGTTTTCAGAAATCATGCACATTAGTTTGTCTTTCATTTGCTCTGATGCTTGTTAACATCATACTGATATTTTATGAGAGTTCTAAATGATATATACATAACCTAGCGATTCTAAATTTCATTCAGTGTACTACTTTTCAAAAAGAAGATTTTGTGCTACAACTTTCAAGTCTGGCATCGTATTTGGAAGACCCATGAATGACAGGAAAGGCAAACAGTATTATTTGACGTAGTCAGAAAATAATATTAAGAATTGGGTTTGTAGCCGGGCTTGGTGGCTCAGCCTGTAATCCCTCACCTTGGGAGGCTGAGGTGAGTGGATTGCCTGAGCCCACCGGTTCGAGACCCACCTGGGCAGCAAGACCTCATCTCTACAATAAATCAAAAAATCAGCCGGGCGTGGTAGCGCATGCCTGTAATTCCGGCTACTCGGAAGGCTGAGGCGGAAGGATCGCCAGAGCCCAGAGACTCAAACTCAAAAAAAAAAAGAAAGAAATGGGTTTCTAAATTCTGAGGACAACTCTATAATGTTTTCCTTTCAATGAGCTTTCTTTTAGTTTTCTCACTTATAAAAGATGAACTAATATTTTCTAAATTAAAATGGAAAAAAAATGAAGTCATATTTTAGACAAGATGACATCTGCAAAAAAGTAGCTACAGTTATATGAAAGATAGGGCAAGGCAACCAAGGATGTGTAGTAATAAATATTATATGACTACTTTTTCTCTACAAAAAGCCAATTTATAATAATAAATGCCCTAAAGATAAATTTATACTAAGAAAATGATTGACATTAAATTTTATAGATAAAAATAGAATCTTGTAAGTTTATATTATAATTAATGGTTGTGAATAGCTATTCAAAAATAAGAATTTTGTACCCGAGAGTTAGAGTTAAGAAAACTGAGGACTAAGAAGTGTCTTTTCCTGAAAGTGCTCTTTTTTCTTTCTTTTTTTTTTTTTTTTTTTGAGTTGGAGTCTCACTCTGTCGCCCAGACTGGAGTGCAGTAGCCGCTCCCGGCCACCGCAGCCTCGACCTGCTGGGCTCCAGCGACACTTCCGCCTCAGCCTTCCAAGTAGCCGGAATTACAGACATGCGCCACCACGCCCGGCTGATTTTTTGATTTATTGTAGAGATGAGGTCTCGCTGCCCAGGCGGGTCTCGAATCCGCGGGCTCAGGCAATCCACTCACCTCAGCCTCCCAAAGGCGCGGGATTACAGGCTGAGCCACCGAGCCCGGCGAAAGTGCTCTTTTAAACCTGTTTTACAATTGTAATTCTAAGTGTTCTTTAGTACATTAATGTCATAAAAATAAACTAAGGAAAGATTTGCTAAACATCAGTTTTGAAGATTTTTTTTTAATTTTCTAGTTTATTCCATAGGTTTGAGACTATTTTCTCATGAATTTTTTGACTGTTACTTGCAGTTTTTGTATATTCTCACTCTAGCCTGAATCTGCTCATTTCTGTAATTAGCAAATTTCCATAAAAAGGACAGCATTCTGAACAATCAAACATACATGTTTTTCTGCTGTAGATTAGGAACAGGAGCATCATAGACTATGAAAAACTCAAGTTCAGTATGTAAAGATTAGAAAAACAGTCTTTCGTTTCCCCTTAAATACTGGTTTAGTTCCATTAAGAAACAAGCTTACTTTTCCTATTTTATTTTCATATGAGGTGCATTGAGCAACAT